AATGAATTCTTAAGGTTTGTCAAATGGAAATGAATTGTCCCTCAAATGTTTAACTTCATAACTTTGGTCACTTTCAGTGAGAGGATCAGGAATGGACCTGTGATTTCATTAATACAAAAAATTCTAGATGAGGAAACTCCTCCCTTATGAGACTGGTCAGAACCTTTTCTGCTAGGACTATGGGCTAAGAGAACTGTCTATACCATTGAGCAGTTAAAATGTGACTTGCCCAAGGACACACAACCAGGTAAAACTTGAAACCTAGGGCTTTTCAGCTTGAAGGCCAGCTCTCTAGTCACTCTTCCACATTGCCTTGAGAAAAATGTCTCTCTACTCACTTTGATTATATAAAACTATAGATCTGAAAGGTAGATTAATTTAGTACATTCTTTAAGGGTAAAGTGTTTTTCTTTTTTGTCTTTGTAATCTTAGAGCCCATAGAGTGTCAAGCACATCTTAATAAAATGCCTGTAGGTGTGAGGTAACATCTCACACCCATCATATTGGCTAATCTGACAGAAAAGGAAAAAAGACAAATGCTGGAGGGGATATGGAAAAATAGAGACACTAATGCACTGTTGGTGGAGTTGTGAGCTATGAACCATTCTGGAGAACAATCTAGAACTAATGCCCAAAGGACTACAAGACTGTGAATTCCCTTGGACCCAGCAATACCACTACTAGGTCTATATTCCAAAGAGATCAAAGAAAAGGGGAAAGGACCTATATGTACAAAAGTATTTACAGCAGCCCTTTTTGTGGTGGCAAGGAATTGGAAATAGAAGGGATATCCATGAATTAGGGAATAGCTGAACAAGTTGTAGTATATGATTGTAATGGAATACCATTACGCTATAAGAAATTACAAGCAAGATGGTTTCAGAAAAACTTGAGAAGACTTATAGGAGCTGATGCAAAGTGAGGTGAACAGAACCAGGAGAACATTGTACACAGTAACAGCAATATTATAATGATGATCAACTGTGAAAGATTCAGAGTACTGATCAATACAATGACCCAAGACAATTCCAAAGGACCCATGATGAAAAATGCTATCCACTTCTGGAGAGAAATTAATTTCTGAGTACAGACTGAGATATATTTTTTCACTTTATTTTTATTGCCTTCCCCAACATACACACACACGTACACACACACACACCATGGCTAATGTGGAAATATGTTTTGCATGCCTTCATACATATAATGGGTATTGTATTTCTTGTCTTCTCAATAGGTAAGGGAGAGATGGAGAGAAGTTGGAACTGAAAATAAAAATTAACAAAAATTTAACCAAAAAATGCTTATTGTTTGACTGAAAGATTGGACTTAGAGTCAGGGGACCCAGGCAAACTTGAATTAGCCTCCTATGCTTATTTCACAACTTGTAGGACTACAGGTTTAAAAATAAGTCACATCACCCCATCCCCACATTCTCCCCTCAATACAGTTTCACTGGTGAAATGGAGAAAATAATATCCATACTACTGAGGACCCTTTTTTCCAGGGCCCTAAAATGTGTGGGTTATCATTCTTATTGTAGCACCAATCCCAAAGCCCATTGGTATGGAACTCTGTCCTCATTGATAGAAATGAATGCACTGTCCTATGTGAGGGTCGGGGGTGAAGTTAGTGAGAGTGAGAGCTGGCCTCTCTCATTAGTTACATTAGTATATTGAAATGGCATTACTATATAGATGGGCACTCATGTGCTCATGAATCCTCAGGCACATCACATAATTAAGATAATGTATGCAAATGTGTTCTGGAAACTTTAAAGGGTTATTAAAATATAATTAGTGTTAATAATTATATATCTCTAGGTCATTTCCTCCCCCTCCCCAATATGGATGGAGTTTGAAAGAATGGCAGAGTGGCTTATGCTAAATTTAATAACAGTTATATGTAGGGCTAAAGTCACATAAGGTTATAGTCTGTGATCTGCTTAGAAGGAAAAACAAGTCCTAAGGATGCCCAGCCCTTATCTTCTAACTGGAAGGTAAAAAAAGTTTCACGGGTAGGCAAAGTGACAGTGAAATCATAGCCAAGCACTGTGCGAGGCACAGGGGATCAAAATTTAAAAGTGAGTGAGATAGTCTCTGCCTTTGAGGAGTTTCCATTCTACTAGAGGGATATAATACAGGCATGGGTAAATAAATACAGAATACATACCAAAAACTCACACAGTAATTGGCTGGGGGCCATTAAAGACTGGGGATATCAGGAAAGGTCTCTTGAAGGAGGTGGCTGAGCCTTCCTTGAAGGAATTCCAAGAGGCAGAGGTGAAGAAGGAAAGCATTCCAGGCATGAAGGGCAGCAAAGGAACAGACATAGGAGATTGAATGTCATGTCATGGATATGGAACAGCAAATAGACATTTTTGGCTGGACTACAGAGTACACAAGGAGGAGTAAGGTGAGTTAGGTGCAGATCAGCCTGGATAGGCTGAGGCCAGATTGGGAAGGACTTTATGCCAAACAGAGAAGATAGCTAGAACATTTATTAAGCACTTACTATGTGTCAGGCAAAGAACTATGACTTAATATGTATTATTTAGGAATGTCGATTCAGATGTACTCTTATTTGGGAATATCAATTTGGCAACACTATCCAGGATAGTTTATAGAAAGGAGAGACTGGATATGGAGACACCAGTGAAGAGATTACTACAGTAGACAAGGCAAAAAGGTGTTGAGGGACTAGATTAGGGTAGTTGTCATTTAAGTAGAGAGAAGGATGGACTGGGGAAATGATGAGGGTAGAATCAAGTCAAGACTTGACACCAGAGTGGCTTTGGGGTGTGAGATCCAAAATTAAGGATGACTCCTGGATGAATGGTGGCATGGCATCCCCTCAACAATAAACCAGGGAAATTTAACAGAAGGATGAATTTAAGGGATCATGAGTTCTGTGTTGACATGCCTATGAGACAGACATCTAGGTGAAGATATAGAACTGAATCTCAGGAGAAACGTGAGGGCTGGGCATGTAAATTTGGGAGTCATCTGCATAAAAGTAATACATGAATCTAGAGAGGTTCTAGAACCTGGAACTCTGTATGTTGACACATATGGGATGGGATACGAATGAGAAATCTGAAAAGGAGACTTAAGAAGTCAGACAGGCACTAAGACAGCATCTTCTAAACACCACCCCCGCCCCCACCCCAAGGAAAGTATCCAGAAGGAGAGGGACAAGAAAGGTCAAGAAAGGATGAGAACCAGAAAAGGCCTATCTGCAGTGTTTGACACTATTAATACTACTAGCACCCTTCTGCACACTCTCCTTCTGGGGGTTTCTACATGCTGCCCTGTTATCATTCTTTTACTACCTTCCTAACAAATTACTGGTAACCACGATGTTTCAATGACTGGCAGAGAGTTAAGCCACAAGGGTTTGAAAAGTGAGTGGGAGGTGAGAAAGCGGAATCTAGTAGAGATAGCTTTTTTTCCCTAAGAATTTAACTGTGAAAGGGAAGAGAAACATGGTGATAGCTGAAGAATGGTAGGGTCTAGTGAAAGTGTTGTTTTGTTTTGGCTTTCTTTTTTCTTTTTAAGGCTGGGAGAGATCTGGGCATGTTTGTCGTCAGCGGATAAAAGAGGTTGAAAATTAGGAAGAGAGAGGATATCTAGATGATCTGAATAGAAGACCCTTGGGCCAACAGGATCAGTTTTCCTCATCCAAAAAAATCAGAGGAGCGTCTATATCACAAGATTTAGGCTCTAGCTAAGGGCCCTTCCAGTTCTAAATCCTATGATTCCATAATTAGAAACCGGCCCAGTCTTGAGCAAGAGGAAGGAAGGGGAGGGAAGATCCGAGCTTATATTGGAGCAGATATTCACAACTGTGGGGTTTGGGGGGGTGTGTAATAAAGAGTAGGAAGAAGGGAAACTGGGGAAATTCCCATGCTCCAAGGTTCTTCCCTCGGAACCGCCTGGCCTGGGGGACAGGGAGACCGAGCAAAAGGGATTGGTGACTTTCAGGATCCCTGTAAGTGCCATCAGAAGAGCGGCACAAGGTGTGGAGGGGCTCGCTGTGCGCTTGTCCTAGCAGCATCCATGCTTTGGATCCCTCCAGTCCAGTCTCCACCCTCCAGGACACCGCCCCAAGTTGCTCAGCCTCGGGGACCCCGAGAGGCGGAGTCAACGAGGCGAGGTGACCCAGACTGACAGCTCCTCTTCAGCTCCCGAGCGCTGAAAAAAAATTTTAAAAACCGTAGAGCCCTAGACTCTCCGCTTAAATAGGCAGGGGGCGTGGCTAGGGGGAGGAGGTAGAGCCTGGGACCCGGAGAGGCGTGGCTCGAGACGGCTGGAATGTTGTTGGGTCCTCGCACCGCATAGTAAAGCAGGGGCACGCCCTCTTTCTCCAGCCTGGCCAATCGGAGCGCCGGAGCGGTTTCAAGTCTCCCCCGCCAGCCAGCCCGCCTCCCACCCCACCCCCCTCCGGGATTCGCTTTTTTTTTTTCTTTTTTTGGATAACAAAATTGCTAAAGCCCCGGAAGCTTCGCCAGCCCAGCCCGATCGCACGTGAGGGGTCCAGGGACTAAGCGCGCTGCCCGAGTACGGGTGGCGCAGGCTGGGTCCCCGAGCGGGAAAAGCCCGGAGGAGAGGGGAGTTGGGAGGAGGAGAAGGAGGAGGGGGTGGGTACAGCAGCCGCGGGTTGTTTATCTGGAGTACGGAGGGAGGGGGGGGCCTGGAAACTGCCCCGTGTCCCATTTCCTCCTCTTGTTTTCGCTCCGGATTCTCCATGTTGGACCCCAACTGAGGAGCCCGGAGCTGCTGCCGGGGGATTCGGGCTGGGGGGACCTGGGGGGGGTGGGGGGGAGCCGCTGCCCGGGCCGCCGGCCCTCCTTGCAGGCCGCCTCCCTTCTCTGCCTTGGGGAGGGGGACGGAGGGGGATGTGAACAGCCCAAGGAGCCGCCTCCGCCGCCGCCGCCGCCACCGCCGCCGCAGCAGCCCCAGAGCCGGCCCCCGCCCAGGCCCCCCGTCCCCGCCCGCCCGCCCACCCATCCACCCATCCCGGGCCCGCGGGGTTGTTAGATGGAACACGGCTCCATCATCACCCAGGCGCGGAGGGAAGACGCCCTGGTGCTCACCAAGCAAGGTAAGGCCGGCAACTTCGCAAAACTTTGCAGCCGCCGCCGCCGCCCCCTCCAGCCCTTGGCGCCCGAGCCGGGGTCGGGCTCCCTCAGGCCCGCGGCCGCCCCCGCAGCGTCCCCGCGCGGCGCTTCTCCCAGGAGAAGGGGCGGGGCGTCCCCGAGAGCTAGCGGGGGATGGAATGGCCCTGGCGACCCTCCCCCTCGGAGGGGCCCGGGGCGGCCGCCACCCCCGAGGGGGGGAGGGGCGGGTCTGCGCGGCAGCTGTCACCCAGGCCCCGGCCTTCCGCCCCCGCCCGAGGAGGGGTGGGGGAGGAAGGGGTGCCTCGGGTGGGCACCCACGCTGGGAGGCCCTGCGCCGGTCCCGCCCACTCAACCCCGGGCCCGGCCCGGCCCGCGCTCGAACTGGGGAGGGGGCGTTCTGGGATGGGGTGTGAGCCAAAATGAAGCAGAAATCTAGGTTCTCCTCGCACGCCTCTCTCCCGCCTCCACCGTCTCCCCATTTGGGGAACCCCGAGGTCCTCCCCGCAGCCCCGGCGGTGGCCGTGACCGTGCCCGGTTAGAACTTGGGACCCAAGTTCACAGCCCGGGAGCCGAAGATGGAGATGGGGGGGAGGGGGAAAGAAGAGGAGGAGGGGCGGTCTAGACCAACTGAGCATCTCCACCCGGGACCCTGGCTTCCCAGCCCCACCCATCTCCGCCCCCACCCGCGTCCCGCTCGCTCGGGTTTAGCCGGGTCCCCGTCCCGCCCGTTTGGTTGAGCCAAGGAGTCTCTGGCCGAGCCGCATCGGGCAAGCTGGAGAGGAGGCCCCTCCTTCCCTTCCCTTCCCTTCCCTCCCCGACCGGGCTCCCCCGGGAAACAGCGCTGCACAGAGCCGCGTTTGTTTAGCTCGGGAGCTCGTGTCCCCGGTTACATAATTCTCCTGATGGCATCAGACCCCGGCGTGGTTCTGAATCGCGCAGTGACAAAGTGGGAGTTTTCCCGGGTCAAGCGCCTGGATTCTCCCTGGACCGTGGTCCTGTCAAAGGGAGCAAGGAAGGAGACAGGGTCTCCTACGGCTTGGGTCTTGCTCCGAAGGATGTCGATGGAGCCGCGGGTGTGTGGGGGCTGGGGGCAAAACCGGCCAAGTAAGGTAGAAAGATCATAAATTTTTAGAGCTAGCAGGAAGACAAGGAGGTCAGGCAGTTTAGGTCTTTCAGTTTCCAAACATCCCTTCCTTTGGGAAAGGAACAAGAGGAAAATGGGTGGAAACTGTCTTGTGGAGGAAAGAGGTGTAAAGATTAGGAAGAAATTCCACTGGGAGGAGGAAGGGGAGTTCTTTTCCGTGGGTCAGCCTTTAAATTCGAAGCCACTGGGTCTGTCTGAGCCAAGAAGGGGGAGCTGCTCAATGTTAGGTGAGGAAGGAGTAGATATTGTTGAGGGAAGGGCCTTTGAAATAAAGATTGAGTTTAGACATCCTTGCTCTGATGAGGGGGAGAATGTCCCATCCATTCCTATAGAGATCTAAAATAAACCTTAGAGAGGATATTTTGATTCAGGGAGTGTGGAGATTCTGGCTTCTTGTACCATGTCTGAGCTGTGGGTAATTAATGTCTCTTCACATCACTCCTATTAATAACTCCCACTGTCTGAAATTTACCCATTCTCCCAGTGTTAACTGCCCCAGAGTGCTTTACTCAGGGCAAATAGAACTGGTTTGATGGGTTTTAGCTATTCCTGGGTTCCATTCTTTGAATGAACTGGGGCTTAGTTTGTGCACCCTTCATGTATCTCTCTCTTCTCTGTCTAAGCTGACCACTTCCTTAAGTAAATATGTCTTCCCAGTGGGCAAAAGCCTTCTAGAGAACCACTTGCAGTGGTTACACTGGGGTGTCCAATTTGTGTTTAAAAACTGTTTGTTGCATTTGCAAACAAAATCTGACCCCTCAATATGAGAATTTAAAGTCTTTGACTACTTGAATTTGTTGTACTTTATTTCTTGAACTGTGTTGTCTGATTGTGATCCTGCCTTCACTTAAGGTGAAGCTGGAGAGGAGTCAAGACCTCTAGCAACTTGTGATGGCTTGCTGAGGTCCAGAGAGGTGGGAATCCTTCCTGATCATCCTTAGGGGAGAGGCCCCCAGAAGCCTGGCCTCTCTCATTTGACATGATTAAAAGGTAGAGAAGGTATCACTTGGGTGTATATGATGCTCCCACCCCTACCTTCCCCCTCCCAACCCCCCCACAAGGAAAATGAGTAGTAGATAATCTCTCACACTGGGAACACATTTTGCCTCCTTAAGGTTTATTTATGGTTACCTCAATACACTCCTACCCTGCAACTGGTTGTTACTGGAGTTTTGGGTGTTTTGGTTTTGGGGGGAGGGCAATAGCCAGCGTTCAAAAGTAGACTTGATGAAGTTCTGCTAATTACAGAATCAGGATATGAGCTAAAAAAAAACAACAACTGTACAAGCCATTTAGTCCCACCACCACATTTTGCAAAGGAGGAAACTGAGGCCCACGGTCACACAGGTAGTACAGGTCATATTTTTGTTATGGTGAATACTGAAGAAGACTGAAAATCAGGGAATCCAGCTCCTGAATGGCAGTTAGTTGTTCACATGGCTTAGTTTTTCTTGGGTAGCACTCTGAACATGCCTCGAGATAGATAGGAGCTTTCAAACCAGCAGGTTAGTCACACATTCTCCCCATCTTTCTGTACCATTACATTCCAGTGTGCCCTCTTAGTTCTTTTAACTCTGGTACATCTGACCCTAATGTAACAAATTTCAAGTCAACTTTAGGACAGTGCCACTAGTAAGTCTTTAATAAATGCTTGTTGATGTTTCAGATCCCTTGTCTTTAACCAACAGAGATTGGGATAAATCACATTTGGAGAAGGAAAAAGGAAGCCTGGGGCAGTTTACTCTTAACAAATTGTTCTTAGCCAAGGTCTGTTCAAAGTAGAAATCCAAAGGCATCTGTATTTTAAAATACAGAAAAAATTTTTAAATGTGTATAAAAATTATTTTTAAAAATTTAAAATACAGAAGCCTAAAGCTATCTGTATTTTATGTATTTATTTCTTTTGTTTAGGATTTTATTCCCTGAGCATTGAGGCTCTTGCCTGAAGTTTGTTGATGATTCAAAAGTAATTTTAGAAAAAAACAGCAAAATTCCTTAAAGTAGTAGAGGAAAATGTGTGTTCATCATCTCAAGACATGAGAGGAATGCCTTTTCAGGGCTGTGCATACTAAGGCCTTTTGGACACTGGACTGTCTTCCACTGAAAATGTTTAAATGCCGAAATGTAATTTTAGTAAAAAGAGACTGTCCTGAGATTAGCTTATTATGGGGGGAGTGATTGCCTAGATGTGTGTTTGGAGAGCCAAGGAGATAAGTTGTCCCTAAAGCAGACACACCCAATATAACCCCAGTGAACACACAGTGCTGGTGCCTCCAATGGGACCTCCTTGTTTGTCGTCTGTGGTCATTCGCCTCAGGGAGAGAATAAACCTATGTTTCCTGTTGTCACATCAGGAAATTGTCATTGATAGTGAGGATGGATTCTTCTGAATCTGGAAACCTAAAATATGAGCAGCTTAAAATAAATGCCACCTTTTTCTAGTTTGTTTTCCTCTACTGTGAAAGGAAGAAAATCCACCTTCTCTCAGGAGAAAACAAAACTAAACCAAAAGACATTTCCATTGTATGTGCTATTTAAAAGACAACAACAGTAACCCAAAAAAAAACCCTTAGAACCAAGAAAAGGATCTGGATTTGGATCTGAGCATTTGACATGTTTGGTTTTCATACTGGGAAGTGTTCTTTACCACAGTCAGCAGTTTCTAGAATTCAGGGCCCGGCTTCTCATGGGGCAGCTCCCTTCCCTTTTTTCATCCTGGCCTCACCTTTTCCTTGTGGCCTCATCCAGACAGGTTCCCTTCTTCTGTCTCCCTTGGAGCCTTCCCATGCAGCCAGATCCCAAGGGGGCTGGTGCTTGGCTTTGCTCATTGTTTGAGAACCTACCTTCAGGAGTCGCTATTAACTCAGCACTTTGGGGGACTGAACTTGGATGGGAGTGCTGCTGCCTTCCATGTTCAGTTCGTTATTAAATTGATTATTGGTTTGGAGTGTCCAAAGAAAGCCACTCCCAAGGTCTCTGGGTACTGTCCTCGGCAGCATTTCCTGTCCTCTCAGTCCCCAGCTCTCTCCAGGAAATCTGTGGGAACAGAAAGTCCACATACTGTAGGTAAAATGCTTTACTGTCAAACTCCATAGAACTTAATGATTTCTTCTTTTTGTCAGAATTAGTATTTTGTTTGAAATCCCAGTCTGCAGGACCGAAAGGTAAAGCAGAGTTACTGCCCCAACCTCTCAGTAATAAATTAACGAGAGGAAAGCAGGAGTCTAAAACCTTATTAGGGAAGGAGGACGAAAAACACAACCTCCCCCCCCCCCCAATTTTTTCCCCTGAAACCCCTCTTATAGACAATTTTTTTTCTTTCTTCTGACTCCAGTATTTAGATGACTAGACTGTTTTGAAATGAAAAAGGCTGAGGGGGAGTTAAAGGGTCAGGACGAGAACTGTCAATACTTCGGCCATAATGCAAATAGTTCTAGATTATGTATGTCATCAAGTCCTTTTCTCAGAGAAGAAATCAAAAAGAGTCTGTGATAAAGGAGGATTCCTGACAGAGAGGGATGGGCCGTCCCCCCACCCACCCACACATCTGTAAGGCTCGGAAGCAGCCTTATTACACAGATATCTCCTTTGCAATAGTAAACCTTGCTGTTGGATTTTACCCATGGGGGCGGGGTGTGCCCAGCAGGATGCTGGTAGTGGGAGACATTACTTTATTATGGAGGCATATCTACAAATGTAATTTAATAAACATTTATTAACCACCTAGCAGTGAAGGTACAAAGAGGAAAAAAAACAACCTTCTTTCTGTCAAGGACCATATGGGACGGGGGAATACAGTGTATACAAAGATAAGTAAATACAAAGTAATTTGAGGAGAGC